GGTGCTTGGGTAAAAGTGTGTCTCCATTTGTTTGGTGCTGAGTGCACCCACAAGTATACACAGAGCTTCAAACTAATGAAATGGTGCAATGTTTGAAGAATACATATAAAGGATAGAAAAATATGAATAAAATGTGTAAAATATAAATAAAATAAAAGGAGTGTTTTACCACAATGAAACTGTGGTAAAAGCATACTCCTCACAGTGGGGACCATTACCTCACCATTTTGGATGATGAACTTTAAGGCAGCCTTGACTATTATGTATGATAAAGATTCTGGCAACATCATCTTCCAGCAGGATAATGACTCCAAACACATACAAAAGGGCCAGGCAATGGTTTCAAGACTATGAAATAGAGTGTATGGTGTAGCTAGCACAGACCTCAGACCTCAATCCCATAGAACAGCTATACATACACACCAAGAGGAGGTTTAGAGGCTATGAACCATCAGGTGTTTTAGAGCTCTGTCACAACTGTACAAGACCAATTCCAACAACCCTTCAACTTGATTTCAACTCAAATTTGACACTTTTACTCAACTTTATTTGACCTTATTTGAAACTATTCAACTCAACTTCCAACTTGTCTCAGATTGATATCATTCATGATTCCATTCTTATATTATATAATAGTCATTAATTTATAGTAAAGGTATAAAAGGAGAATGAAAGGAGCAAGGAGAGTCAGTCAGAAAATCTGTAAGATAGTCCTTATCCTTACCATGTATTAGGCTCCCTGGCATTTGGCCTGTTAAGATCTCAAAAAGGGGGCAAGGGGGCTCTATGTCAGGGGGCCATTGATAGAGATCATACTAGTTGGGAGGTCTGACTCTATAACATGGGTGGAGCTTGGCTTCAACTTATATATTGTGTCCTTGTACAAACCATTAAGGTGCTCCAGTATTTCAAACAGAGCAGATAGTATGATAAGAACTGAAGACAACACTTAGCTCAGTTGACTGGAGGGCCAAAATGCTAAGAGTTGTGAGGTTGTTAAGTTGTGTGCCACGAGGTCGGAAGTCCAATGGGGTCTGAATGAAAGGACATGGCTTCAGCTTGTGTGCTGCACCCTCACAAAGTTACCATCAGTTGTCCTTAAATTTCAAATGTGCAAGAACTTATCTATCGAGAATCTGAACAGTGGTTGAACTGTCAGATTCCTGGATTGGTAGAGGGCAGAGAGAGAAAGAAGATTGGAGGTCCAAGAGAAGAGTGAAGAACTAGTAGAGTAACTAAGTTGATATTCTGATTGCTCTGTAACTACTTTACAGTTTGGTATATATACAGATTTCCAGCATCTTGCAGTACTAATGAGGAGACAAGGAAAGTTCCTAAAGTAGAACAAGAGCATAACTAATCAGGAATACAACAGGTATGGGTTTCTGATACTCAGAGAATACAAACTAGGATGAAAGACATAACATATGTATTCAGATATACAGTGTGTACTAATCGGGACATAAGGAAATGGCCTAAAAAGGAAATCTGGTATCCGATGGGTATCCGAGAATGAGGGGTGATGTCAGGTGGTTTGGAGGTTGTTCGGGATTCTGAGCATGTGTTATGACCAGAATTCCCGCTGGACTCTGGGCACTAACTTATATGCACCTGTGCCCTATATGCACCAATTGTCAGTTTACTGGAATTACCACTGGACTCCGTACATCAGACTTGTCCACATTTGACTTCGTTACTTCATGTATCAGTCACTGGAATACCTGCTGGACTCTGTCCCTGTCTATGTCCAACTCTGTCCCATGCATCAGTCACCAGACCCCGCTCAGAAACCCTGTCATCCCTCTAACTGAGCCCTGTTCCTGTTTTAGTCAAATGACCTGTCATGATTCAGACTCCACTCCCGCTCCATTCCCATTATGGTTTTATGACCTGTCACAATTTGGACTCCACTCCATTCCGTTCTGTTCCATTCCTAACACCAAGTTTGGTGTTTACTTATCTCGTTTTATGTTTGTTAGTTTTGTTTTCATTATTACTGGATTTGGTATGTTATTCATTCCACAGTCTAAATAGTCTGGCAGAAGTTGTACATACAATCCAGTCAGAAAATCAGCTTAGATTCTCCCCAGTAATCTTAGTATATTTTCTGCTCTAAACTCCTCTTTGAATTACATACACCGCTCTCGCTAGTCAGAGCCCACAGGCTCCGACGCATCTATCACTCAACCTCTGACTTATCTATCTCGACTCCCCGACCTCTCAACCCACAACCTCTCAACCCACAACCTCTCAACCCACAACCTCTCAACCCACAACCTCTCAACCCACAACCTCTCAACCCACAACCTCTCAACCCACAACCTCTCAACCCACAACCTCTCAACCCACAACCTCTCAACCCACAACCTCTCAACCCACAACCTCTCAACCCACAACCTCTCAACCCACCACCCATGAACTCCACCTGGACTCCCTGGGATTCCCGTCTGCCCATTTGAAATTGGACAACACAATCTCACAAGGGCACAGCCTATAAGCTGAAGCCAAGTCCTACTGGATTTCCCGTGGGTTTCTCTGGAAACCCTCTGTGTATGCACCCTTAACAGCATGGGTCATAACAGGGGTAAAGAATCATAGCTTGCTGATAATGCCTTCAGGGATATTAGAGAGGGAGTAAGGTGGCTGAAAGACTAAATGGGGGTAATTGAAGTTGAGAGTAGAACTAAAGAATAGTAACATACATGGTAGGAACTTTATACTAAGGTGTAATGGATGAGTGGAGGGGAGGATAACCCAAAACTTTAAAAGTTATTTGTTCACTAAAGTATATATATTTATATTGTTTGTTGTAGAATTAATATTTAATCAAAATCAGTCCATCAGGTGATACTCTGGAGAATAAGGAAATATTAATATTTATCTTGTATCTGACAAAAGTTAATCAAACAAACATATATAGATTATCCTTTTGGGGATAAACTCCACAACATGGATTGGTTGGCCAGATAGTTCTGGTTAACTTTCTAAACCAAATAAATTTAAATTATATGAACTACATTTGAAAGTTCACATGTAAACAAGAGAATGCATCTTATCCCAAATATTAAGTCATAACCCAGATAATCTTGTTTAACCATGACATTTGTGTATATTTTAAAAGTCATAGAGATACTAGAGAATGCATCTCATCCCAAAGATTAAGTCATAACCCAGATAATATTGTTTAACCATGACATTTGTGTATATTTTAAAAGTCACAGAGATACTAGAGAATGCATTTTATCCTAAAGATTAGGTAACAACCCAGATAATCTTGTTTAACCATGACATTTGTGCATATTTTAAAAGAACATACAAGTATTAAAGATGAAATTTTGGGGTAATGAAATATAAACCCCTAAAACATGTAGTCATAGCCAAAGGAAATAGTCTCACTTAAAATATGAGGACTTTTCCATAAAATTTTGGATATTCAATGAATTGTGACTATCCTCCAGGTCTGATCAAGGAAGTGAGAAGTAGCAATGGGGTAAAGGAAGCATGGGAAGGAGTAGGGATCAGACTGGAACTAAATATGATGTAACAAAAGTATTCTAAAGGGTATGAGGTGGAAAATAATGTTCACATGTAGAACAGGTGATGGGAGAGCATTGGGATGGAGACAGGATGGGATGATGAAAAGGGAAAGCTATAGTGAACCAAGTGTCAGAGCACTGCAGGCAGTGACACCATGATAGGGGGTACTGAGCCAGAGGGTGAGGAGGGTAAAATGAGGTTGCAGGGAGCTGAATGACATGGATCCTAACATGGCCACCCACAAGCTTGTTTTACCCTCATTAGCCTCTGGTACTCTGCTATTGGTACCCCTGACCACAGTATCACCACCTATGGTGCATGGCCCAACAGTTGGTTTACTATAGCTTTCTCCTTTCATTATTCTGTCCCATCTCCATCCTGATGCCCTTCCATCACCTGCTCAATGTGTAAATAATACTTTGCCACCTCATACCTTTTAGTATAATTTAATTACATTGTATTCACTTTTAGTTTGATCCTTACCCTTTTCCATGCTTCCTTCAACACTCAATACTTCTCACTTCCTTGATCAGACCTCTGCTCATCCATCACACCTTCATATAAAGTTCCTACCATGTATGCTACTATTATTCAGTTCTAATATTGACTTAGATTACTTCCATTTAGTCTTCAACCACTTTACTCCTCTCTAATACCCTCAAAGACATTGTTGGCAAGCCACAACTCTTTACCCTATGACCCCTAGCATTTCAGCTCTCCATGTTAGGATCCCAGTCATTCAGTCTCCCACAACCTTGTTCTACTCTCCCCACTCTCCAGCATCCCACCATTGGTACCCCTGACCATGGTGTCACCACCTGCAGTGCCCTTCCCCTTTTTGTCATCCTATCCCATATCCATCCCAATGCTCTCCTGTCACCTGTTCTACTTGTAAATGATATTTTGCCACCTCATACCCTCTAGAATACTTCTATTACATCATATTTAGTTCTAGTTTGATCCTTATTCCTTCCCATGCCTCCTTTGACCCTGTGATGTATCCAGTCTATTTTCACAAATTTTCCCTTATTTTTCCAGAATTTATTTTCCATTTAATTTAATTTAATTTATTTATTATTTCAAGAATTGGGCTGTTTCCTTTTAACTTCACATACTCAAGGCTTTGAATGATGTCACATTATGTAATTGAAGCCTAGAGCAGTTGAAATATATTTTTAATAAGCCAGTTTATCCATTTTTGGGTGGCCAGGTTTTTTATTTTATTACATTTTTATTACATATGTATATTATTGCATATATGCACATTATTTAATCTCAATCATGTGACATCGTGTGATGGTGCATTTACATGTCATTGCATATAGTTTTCACAGCTGCCCAGCCAGGTTTACTTCCAGTTCAGCCTGGCATATTTTTGCTTCCACTCTCAGCCATAGCTTCTGACTCAAGTGACTCAGATCTTTGAGTCAGGTGAGAGCTATGTTAAAAGCGTAGAAAATGAATGGCCAGACTGGGGATTGAACCCAGGGCTTCTGCATATATAGCAGGGGTGTTAACCATTACATACACCACCTGACCCTGGGAAACACTGCTAGCATCATTCAATCTAACAAGCTATGATATCAGTGGAATTATGGAAACCTCTAGAAGCTTCTAAAGATCCCCTAATCAGCTACCTAGATACCACCAAGCAGCACCACCTACACATATAAAAGGAGGCCTAAATCTTGAATAAAAAAAACTGCTTCACTACTATCAACAGCACCAGCTCAGAAGCACTATCTTCTTCATACTAAAGGACAGAGTAATAGCCTTAGTGTGAAATTACTTAACTGCAAGTAACACTTGCAGAATATTGAACTCTTTGTCAGCATTCTTGAACTTAGCTAATTCATCTAAGTTCCCTCAGCCTCCCAGAAACCTTTAGGCTTACTCATCACATAGTAAATCTAAAGTTTTATTACTGAAATCCCTGCCCATTTAGGTTATTCAAGAGCCCATATTAACAGCACAGTTAATTGATCTTTAAACAAACACTGGGATATTCAACTCTTGGACAATCTCTCTATTTATAAACTACAGTATTTGACAGCTTGTTAAATCTTTATAAATAGTAAACTCAAAAGCTACAAGAAAGCAAAGGCTTATGAAAAGTTTCTGCCAACTTGCATATTGCACATACATTCAGCTCCCAAATCTTTATTCTCAAGAAGAACTAACCTTCATAGAGCATGTCACTACAAGTTCATCTGAATTTTTCAGGAGACCAAACAAATATTGACTTTAGTTGTTTAAGCCTAATAGTGCAGCTAATTAATCTATCAGTATTTAAATTACTGGACCTTTATTTGTTTATTTCTTGAATCCTTTGTGTCAGAGCTGTGGGACAGGATTCAGAAAGTATGGGTCAGGATAGAGCCAATGTACACTAGGATTTGATTGAGAGTATGCCTAAGAGGGTTCGGGTAGTGATTGAGGCAAAGGAAGGCTATATATACCAAGTATTAGAGTATATCAGAATGTGTTTGTATTATACCAGCTGCAAACTATTGCAATGATAGCTACTCAGGAAACATTTTATCTCACATCAACAACTCAACTGAATATGTTCTATATGGGCTCAAATAAAATCCATGTAGTACTGTTTCACACACTAATTTATTTTAATTTAGCTATTTTCTGTTAGTTCTATTTGTCAGTCTCTGAAAAGTTGCAAAACATTGCAATGATTTTGCAAGTCACTGTATCTTATACACCACTATAGACTAATGGAAATCTGCACTTGTTTGTACTCTGATACAAATCTGGTCTACATTATACATACTTACTGTGTGTCAAAAAAGAACAGAGTCTATTTTTATTATGGTCCCCTTGTATGTATGAGTCAAGTGATATAAGTCTGCGATCTGCAAAGTAGAATGGAGAACATATACCCCCCTCCCCTTGCCATATTGTAGTGACTGCAGCTAGCATGAAGGCACAATATCATGGCTTAAAACAAATAAAATAAATGTTTTTTTTACCGGTGTTATACATTGGCCATTTTTCTGATTTTTGTGTCCACCTCAGATGAAGAAAAGACTAACCAAATACAGATGACACTCTAGCAGACTTAGCGAATGAGATTTGCATCACCAAACACCGCCCATACGCTGCGGGATGATCTCTAATTTGTCCAATGAAACCATTAGATATCATATGAAACAAAAAGCTTCTCATTTTTTTAGAAGCACAGTCTATATGTGATGCTATTTCGGAAATCACCCAAAGACCTGATCGCGATAATCACTTGGGGATAAAGCAGTCTAACAGACGTATTTTACAGCTCAATAGTGCTATGATCATGAAATATTACATGGTACAACTTCCATTATTACTTCAGTATAAACACCATCGGAGTCGGGTTATAATCTTCGTCACTATATGCTTAATGATAAATTATGTTTTCTTTCTACTCTTTCGACTCCAAACAGGTTCAAGCGTGAAGGTCTTATAAATGACTTTAGCTTCGCTTACAGTGTCTGTACTTTCATAGGCAAAGGGGGCTTTCACCCAGCGGCGTGAATATACCTGCTGAGCTTTGGTCGGGCTTTTGGGCTTTTCAACGAAAGACGTTTCCTAAACCCTATCACCGCTATTTTCTTCTGATTTGAGACCTTTTGGACTTGTAATCCCACCCAACGGATAGTTTTCGCTCCGGTTGCAGGGAAACAGCTATCCTGTAATTCCTATGAGTCCGTATGTATGGAAAGAAAGAAAAAAATCGTGGAAACCATATCGTTCAGCCGGATCGGCTGGAGAAACAGGCACTGTCGTCCCACTTTTTTTATAAAAATTATCCTCGAAATGGGATTAAATGGGCACCGACACCGATCATACCCCAATAATTGACATTGATAATCGCGTGGATGGGTTTCAACACAGCCAGACAGTCACTCACTATTATTCTTGGGCTGTAAAGGATACATAAAGCAGCGTTGGAATTGACGCAAGCAGTGTGAGCCTTTATCGGTATCATATGTATCATTGAAAGTTATATAATGAATTACGTGGAGAGTAAGTTAGGTTGCATATTGTCAGTATATATGATACAATTACGATTGCTCTGCCTCCAGTTCCCCCGTACGCCTCGTCACTGCTAGGAGAGAGGGATCGACAATACCCGTCAGCAGTTGAAAGATATAGAATCAGAAAAATTACTACAACTTCATTTGAAGCTGGCAATTGTTGCTGATATTCGACATCCTCAATTGTCGACTGGGATTGCTCCATATTCTCCTGCGAGCATTGGAACACATTAAAAAGAAAGAAAAAAAGAGAAAAAAAAGATTGCATCCATCCACCTCCAAAAGTCTCCCCAAAGACCAATACAAAGTGGTGATGCATTGACTACGAATGGTTAATTGAAAGTAGTATCCAACGATGCTTACGACCCAAGCATGCTCTTGGGCATCCCGTAAATCAGGCATATATATTCCGCTATAGTGACAAGGCAAGTCACAGTTACGTGAGCCAGAAAGTTGAGTCCCGCAATATTACTTTTTGTCACCTTGTCGTAGTATTAACAGCTATTGCCACTTAGTAGCGTATCGTCATGAGGCAAAACATTATAGAGAAGTAGTCACTAGCTTGAGGGAGCCAAGCATAGATGGAAAGAAAGATGTTGGGAATGGGGGGTGGGAGTAACTTAGTCCATTTCCTTTAAATGCACCGACAACCAAAAAGACAAGGTGTGAGTTCAGAGATCAATCACATTACACGCCAGCAGTGCGAGCGTGCGTTACTAGTAGCTCCAAGCGGGCTTTGGCAATGAGAAGTTCATCTCTAAATCCCGACAGTAACTCACAGCTCATGAAGTCGTTTCTCTTTGATTGCATGCGTGATCCTCGGAGCGCTCTGGCAATGATTGACATTGAACACACAAGGTGCTTATAACCAGGCAGTGCCATGATGCAAACCGCTCTGCTTACTCCTAAGAGTCGTATCAGAGCAGACAACAGCAGTAGGTAAAGGGGTGAAAAGTCCATTTCGCAAAAGGAAATAAATGTGGAGAAGGTCTGGAGATGTCACTTGTGTCCAAATATCCTTATACGCATTCACATCCAGTGGTAGTCCAGCAGTGCAATGATCCACAATCGCGATATAATGTGTACCAGCACCTCACATCTCAGGAGAACTTTTGAAATTAGTTCCACATGACCTAACACAGCGTTAGGAACTCAGGTTCCGATATCAGAATACCCATAGAAAGCTTCGAAAATATTATGTTGCATCAAAACATATATATAGCGCTGTGTTAACTTAGACAAATAGGCAAGCGTATGGTGTAAACTTTACATTGACAATCTAACGGCACAAAACAAGAAGCCCAGGAAGTTTGACAGGTCGACATTGTCTGTTTGACTGGTCTGCTGTTAAGGACAGCCATTGCCAGCAATGGCAATTCTCATTCAGTCTAAATTAACACAAAGAAAATTTTTCAAACTATTCACTATTCTGAATTCTAAAAGAATCACTGTGGTAAGCCAAACTATCATTAATTTGGCCTGATTCCGCACTTCGACTCATTGAGGCGCTCGCGCTAGGCACTTCTTTCAATCTTTCTATTGCACCTTCAACAGGTGAGCGCACTTCAATGTCACGGTTTAGCTTGCACATGCCATTAGCTTGAACAGTGGCAGCGCCTTTTGTCTCTTATCTAATTTACGGCGTAATATGCTCGATACCTGTAATTCGTTGTTTTGCGCGTTCTAAATCACACCGTCCGTCCCAGAACATCATTGCAGTTCAATTATTTACGGATAGTTGAGATTAATTTACATAAAGTAAAAGGGCGAAACACTGTCAGTGCGTTTATACGTAGATCATCTAAAATTGAAGCATCCTGCTAGTGAGAAAGCTACCGCTACTTTATAGGGCATTAGTTGGGTACTCATATATGCAGGTTCTGTTCTTGACTGTTGACAACCGTGAGAGCTAAATCAAGCATAAAGTTCTTAAAGGTATCTGTGCCTCAATTTACCTTGACGGATATTAATGTGGGATTGAGGCTGCAAAGAAACGTGTGTGTATAACCCGGCTGCTGTAGTTAAGTCTCGGTGCCAAAGAACAATTCGAGTGGCGATATAATTTTCACCAGAATAGATCGTGCCAGTAATTTATATGATGCAAGTCGGAGTTATCAGGCTGTTAGCAAAAGCTGATGGAAAAACGATATCATTCTGAACTTAGATATTTTTAGCGTTCTTCAGATTCTTTTCTAGAAACAACTGAGTCAAACGAAGGCTCTTCAAACGTGACAATATTTCTAGATAAAATATTATGGATAAGCCTTCTTTCTAATATTCGCGGACTTGACAGTTCTGGATGAGATCCTATCTATTACATGTCTTCCTACACTAACAATACGGCAGCCACGTCAGGAGTGGCAGTATTGTATTCACACGCTTATGTAGCCTTTCAATTCCTTTTCTCTCCCAGATATTAGAAAATTGATATATAATATGAAGTTGCGGGAGGGCGTAGAAGGCAATACATATAATCGGGGGAGAGCCAGTAATGAACATGTTCTGGATTCT